GCCCTGCTTACGAAAGCACCACAATGGCTGCAGGGCTGTCCTTGTCCACCTGTTTGCCCGTGTCTTCAAACTGCCACCCCAACATTCCTTCCTGTCACCGAAGCCACTCGCACTTTCAAACGCCTCCAAAATAGAAGTCAGAAGACTGTGGCCATCAGTGGAGCCCTGAGCCCCGAGCCCCGCATCCACCAGGTGCCGCTCATGGCATCAGAAGGAGTCGAAAAGAACTCTGGCGGGCACCGTGCTCCGACTCTACCCGCGTGTGAGTCCCACGGAAAACACCTCCAATATGGAGTCATCTGTCCTTTGACTTAACACCACTTCTGACAAACAGCCAACAACCTCCTGACAGCCCGTTCCCTTTCAGTCCTAATTGCTAGAATAGTCTTCCCTGGGCTGGGCTGAAACCTGCCTGTTGTGACTACCACCGACGGGTTCTCATTTTGCCCTCCGGAGCCACCTCACATAAATCTTAAAGCCTCTTCCGCATGACAGTCCCTTCAGGGTCTGAAGACAGTATTCTTCACAATTCATCCAAATAAGAACCTTATTGTATGATACTGTAATGAACTGGAAATGGTGCTTTCCTGTCCAACTGGTTTCGGAGGCTCCCCCTGCAGCGGCCTGAAGGTGATATATGACCACGCTTTATTTACGGGCAGACAGACAGAGCCCTTGTTCCTGAGCTGTAACAAACGCGGCCGTTCATCACCGGCCTGCCCCTTTTTGAAATTCGCTCTGCAGCCAGCACTTTTTAAACTCATGCACGTAATGCATTTTAAAGAGCATCTTCTGCACAGATCCATTTGTTCGACCTCGGCACGAAGCGTGAGATGGAAGGGGATTTCAGTAGAACTCCTCCTGCGCCTCCCGGAGCCTGTGCAGAAGGTACGCTGGGTTTTAACTCGCCATGCCCGGGGCTCTCAAACGCAGTGTTGTTTGAAATGTCTGTTTGCTGATTAAGATACATCTTGCAAAGGGAGGGCATTCCTAACGCAGAATCTTGTCCAAAACTATGTATTATGTAATGCACATTTTTTAATAACGCAGACAATCTCGGTGTATCTGTATTAGTGAACCGGCTCTGTGCTGCCATCCGCATTAGAGACAGAAGCACTCCATGTAGAGAAGGAAGTTCTTTCTTCTGTACGCTGAAGAAGCACAAGCACCGTGCTGCTGACGGCCAGTGTTGCTTTCCATCTATTGAAAGGGCATTTACCAGCACCCACATCCTCCCGATGGTTTCCCCACTGTGCCCTGAAATCCACTTGAACGACATCTTCCTGTTCCGTACACTTTCGGTGGGGCTGTGCTAATTGAAAGGCATAAAGCAGGTAGGTCGATGTGAACAGAACCTTTAGAAACAACCCCTGTCAGATGCGGCTGAGAGGTAGATCTACAGCTCCAAACACCCCTGTGCAGTGTCCTATAACAATATCCACGCAATGACTGGCATCTCCAAGAGCTGGTGATAACAAAACCACGTCAGTTTCTCTGGCAGGCGTTAGAGTATGACACAACTCCAACAGAAAAGCGTGGCCTCTTAGGGAGGTTCTCAAATCAATCCCACTTTATTAGATCACTGGCGTTTTCATGCTTCATACTAACTTGCAGAACACCAGACGCAAGACAAACACAGCCAAGAAGCCAGGTCAGGAACAGGCAAGGACGTCCACGGCCAACATGCAGACATGAAAACCTCAATACCTCAAGAGCAATCACTAGACTCTTACGAAGGTCCTAACTCTGCATCTGCCCGCTTTACTGTGGGCGTGGTGGCAAGGGTTTGAGAACCAGTTCCACCATGTTGAGTATCAGGGTCAGGTGCATGTCTGTTCAGCCACCAGGCACCCAGTACCAGTAGGAAATGGCCCGGTGGACACCCTCAAAAGGGAAAGCCAAAGAATTATAAGAGGTGGCGCCTCTTCTTTAAGCTCCTCCTTACTGAGTCAAGTAGGAGAGAAAAGAACCCAGTCCATGACCTGTGTCCCTGATCAAGCACCTCATTGACCCTTCCATGGTTTCTAGGAAGATGGGTCTGCTCTGAGCTATATCACCTGTGTGGATCTGCCACTATGGCAGAGGGGGCATTCCATACTTTAATAGGTGATGGCAATCGGGGAACATCTAGCTCAACTGGCATAACACAATTTATAAAGACAATGTTCTACATTCTACCTTGGTGAGTAGCATCTGGGGTCTTAAAAGCCTGTGAGCAGCCATCTAAGATACTCCGCTGGTCTCACCCCTTCGGGAGCAACGGAGAATGAAGAGAACAGGATACAAGGAAAAGATTCGTCCAAAGGACTATGGCCCACATCTACCACGGCCTCCATCAGACTGAGTCCAGTAAAGCTAGATAGTGCCCGGCTACCACCACTGACTGCTCTGACAAGGATCACAACAGAGGGTCCTGGACAGAGCTGGAGAAGGATGTAGAACAAAATTCTAACTCACAAAAAAAAAAAAGACCAGATTTACTGGCCTGACAGAGACTGGAGAAACCCTGAGAGTAGGGCTCCCAGACACCCTTTTAGCTCAGTGGTGAAGTCACTCCTGAGGTTCACCATTCAGCCTGGGATTGGACAGTCCCATAAAACAAAACGGGGCTAATGAGGCACAGCAGTCCAGGGACAAGGACTAGAAGGCAGGAGGGGACAGGAAAGTTGGTGATAGGGAACCCAAGGTTGAAAAGGGACAGTGTTGACATGTCGTGGGATTGTTAACCATTGTCATCAGGCAATACGTGTACTAACTACTTAACGAGAAACTATTTTGTTCTGTAAACCTTCATCTGAAGTACGAAAAGAAAAGGGTTATCTATGTGAGATCAAATTGCCAACAGCAACCCAAAAGGTTTGATGGGAAGCCTAGGGGCCAGTGAGTTGAAGACCACGATGATGGAATAATCTGGAAAAGGATAGTGAGAATAGCAGCAAAACTGAAAGAAAGAAAAAAAAAGGTCCTCCAAGGTCAAGAAGGGAGTGTTGACATGTCGTGGGGTTGTTACCCAATGTCATAAAACAATATGTGTACTGACTGTTTAATGAGAAACTATTTGTTCTGTAAACCTTCACCTAAAGTACAATAAATACAAAATTAAAAAAAAAAAAAAAAGGTGATGGCGAGACTAAAGACATGCACAACCCCAAAGCAACAATCAGATCACAGGTGGGACTTGAGCTTCTCAACTACTGCCCTTTCCTAAGCAAGGATCACCCAAGCGATCCCCCTCCAGTCGGGCATGGATCTCCTTTGATGGTACTAATTCACTCCAAGTCTTTAGTCTTTGGGGTTCAACCACATGACCTAGTGGTGTCCAGCTATCCCTAACCCTACTGCTCTGATTGATCCAATAGTTTTCTCATGTAGAGTTTCAGCTAGATTAGACAATGTTGGTGGGCAAGGAGGGATTCTGAGTAAGTTAACATTCTGATTAACAGGAGATGAGTCCTAAGAATCTCTTAATATTTTGGTTCACTACTCTCTCTCAGTGCCTAGAACAGAGCTTGGCGCATGGTAGGCACTGAGGAGATATGTGTTGAATGAATTAACTTTGTTGAAGGCGTATCGAAAAAACAGCTCTAAGGGGCATCCCACTTTGTTGAAGGTCAATCTAAGAAATAGCTCTAAGGGACACCCAATGAGGTTTCCTTATAACTGACCACCCTGTGAGCCCCAAAGGTGCAGAGAACTGGTTATATGTACTGAGTATCAATTGAGGAAATGTGGGGGGTTGGGGGGGGTGGTTTTACAGAAAAGGCTTCTGCTAACTAGCAGTTCCAGCTAACAAAAGCCTGTCTTCCAGCACTTGTTCTCAGTGTGAGCTCATGGTGGTCCACCAACCAATGGTTTACCATGGCTTACCATGACCTGGTCTATGCTAACGCTTCTTGAGGAAGATGCTTGTTTGCCCCTGAAGTAATTTAACCAATTGAGACTGGGGCGGGGGTGGGGGGAGATGTAGTGTTTGGAAACTTAATCTAATTACAATCACTATAACAGAGCTAGGGACCCTGGTGGCTCAGTGGTTAAGAGCTCAGCTGCTAACTAAAACGTCAGCACTCCTCATCAACCAGCTGATCCTTAAACTGTATGGGGCAGCAGTTCTACTCTCCTTCGGGGGTCGCTGTGAGCCAGAATCTATCCGATGGCAACGGGTGTAACAGATCAGCCAAAGGTAGTTTCCCGATGAATGACTGCCTGAGGTTACCATCCTCAAACTATTAAGCCCTCGGAAAATGCCCGGGGCTGGATCTTTCATTCCCTGAATATATACAATTTTGCTGTCTGGTTTTGAGCGGTTTAGCGCTCTGCTCATTTTATTGATCACCCTGGAGAAGTTGGGGAGGGGGACGCACTCCAGGGAGACCCATGCCCAGATGCCCAATTACTCTAACCTGTGGCTAGCTCGCCCGCTTTCTCGCTGGCACCCGCCAGGCCCCCGCCCCTGGTTCGCCCCAATCCTTTCAAACAAGGTTCCCTCCTGCCACCTGCCGGCCCACTAGGGTCTGCGCCACAGGCTCAGCGCCAACGCGCAGCTCGTGAGGAGGGGCCCCGGGCCTCCGTACTGCACATGCCCGGCAGAAGTCCGGGCGCGCAACTTTGCAGAGCCTATCCTACCCGCCCGTCTCTCCTCGCCTCAGTCTCCTCTTTCCTCTCCTAGGCGAGAGGAACAGCGGAGGCCCCTCTCCTGAGTCTCAGACTGCAGAGTCTGAGACTTAGCGAGAGGAACCTAGGAGGAGAGACTTCTCCTCCCCTTTCCCCAGCTCTTCTTTTGGCTCAGAGAGGCAGGAAAAGGCGCAGAGGTTTAGAAAGTTCTTAAGTGTCAGAAGGAAGGTGCTTCCTTTTTTGCCCTCGGGCCGAGGTGAGGCTGGGACCTCCGGACCCAGCTTCTCACCTCGGAAGGTGCACCTTTCTCGGCTCCAGCAGCCCACGCGCATCGGAGCCGCTCTCTGCAGAGCCAGGGAGTAGGTCGGCTTCTCGGTGTGCGCCTGAGGATGGATCGGAGGTCCCGGGCTCACCAGTGGCGCCGAGCTCGCCACAATTACAACGACCTGTGCCCGCCCATCGGCCGCCGGGCCGCCACAGCGCTCCTCTGGCTCTCCTGCTCCATCGCGCTCCTCCGCGCCCTTGCCACCTCCAACGCCCGCGCCCAGCAGCGCGCGGCAGCCCAGCAGCGCCGGAGCTTCCTTAACGCCCACCACCGCTCCGCCGCCCAAGTGTTCCCTCAGCCCCCCGAGTCCGACCAGGACGAGGAGAGTGAGCTCGACCTGTCCCTCCCCGAGTGCCTCGAGTACGACGAAGAGTTCGACTACGAGTCGGAGACCGAGACCGAGTCCGAAATCGAGTCCGAGACCGACTTCGAGACCGAGACCGAGCCCGAGACCGCCCCAACCACTGAGCCGGAGACCGAGCCCGAGGACGAGAGCGGCCCCGTAGTGCCCAAGCGCCCCACCTTCGGCCAATCTCTTACCGAGCGTCTGAACGCGCTCAAGTTGCGGAGCCCGGACGCCTCCCCGAGTCGCGCGCAGCCCAGCACTCAGGAGCCCCAGGGCCCCACCGAGGGGGAGGAGCCCGCGCCCGAGGAAAAGGATCCGCAGGACCCCGAGGAGACCGAAGAGCCCAAAGAGGAGGAGAAGCAGCAGCAGCGCCGCTGCAAGCCCAAGCCCAAGAGGTCCAGCCGCCGCGACCCGTCTCCGGAGTCCCCTTCCAAGAGGGGACCCATCCCCATCCGGCGTCACTAATGGAGGACGCGCCCCAGATTCTCCTTGTTTTCTTTGATCCAGGTTGGTTGCCCACCACTAAACTGGGGAGCCCAAGGGCGGTGTGGAGGGGCGGGAGGACCGGAGGGAGAAGGAAAGTTGGTTTGGGAGGAAGGCTGGAAGGGAGTGGGGTCGGCTGGCCAGCCCGGGGATGGGGGAGTTGAGGGCGAGGTGGCCAGGGCCCTCAAATCTCCCCCAGGCGCCGGGGCGCCCCGGAGGCCACAGGCTTGTTGGACGGCGGTCGCTCCCTGCGCCCCGCCGGAGACAGCCTACGGTCTCTGAGCTGGTGTCACGAACGCGCCACTAATCCCAGGCGCGCCCCAAGTTCCGAGCTGCACACCCAAATGGCACCGGTAAGTCACTTGTTTTACGCGCATTTTCCCTCCTAGGAAGAACTCTCTCAAAAGAGTTGGCCTGGGCGGGCACCTAAAACGTGGTTCGCAAGTGCGCGCGCAAACTTTGACAAAGCGAGAACAGCCGGGCTGTAGCGACACTGTTGCAATGTGCGAAAAGTAATCAGGGATTGGGCAGGAACTCCGAAGCCGCCGGCTCCTGGGGAAAGTCGCACGCACGCGGCGCCCGGGAGCCTGGAGCCGAGGTCCCGGCGCTGCCAGTTTGCGGCAGCCGGACCTTGGCGCCTGTGCCCCCCGCGGCTGCGCGTCAGTCCCAGTCGCCTCCCGGCGCGCCCAGGGCCAGCTGGCCGCACACAGCATGCACACCTGCCCGTGCGCCCTACAGCCAACTTCTCCTCCCCAAGAGCTGCTGGTACATGGAGAGCAGACAGAGGAGGTACGGGGGCTTGGGGAGGTGCCCCTACGGGCTACCAAGGTTGGCGACGCGAATTTGGTCACGTCGGGGCATCGCCAGCCTTTTAGCACAGCCGGTCAGGCGGCGGGGCTGGGTGCAGCTTAGCTGGAGAGGTCCCGGCAGTTTTGCGCACGGCCCTGGGGGCGGCAGAGAGGGGCTGAGACGCCGGCGAGGTGGTCGTGAGCAGAAGGATAAAAAGAGGAACAGGGAACCGGCTGGAGAGGGGGTTGCGTCTGTCAGGACACCCTACCGTGCGTCCCCGAAGAGCACGGCACCCGCCGAGCTGGGGAAAAGTGCTGGATGCGACGCACGTCCTTGGGCGGTCGGCGGAGAGGGTGCAGGGGCGAGCGGCTAAGGCAGTCTCAGGGCGGGGACGCGGCGCGCACCGGCCATTTTCAGCTGCGGCGGAGCTAACTTTGGAATCTGTAACCTGGATGGGAAGTGCGCGTGTGTGGAGCACAAAAACGGCCGCTAGCAGGTAGCCAACTTTCCGCGCAGAGAGCGTGGGTCCCTCGCCAATCCTGGGGAAAAAGGCGGAGAAGTAAAATATATTTGCAAAACCTCTCCCGATTTGGAAATTGATCTTTTCTTGGTGCGCGCGCGGTATCTCATTTTGCGCCGGCTTGAGCTATTCTGTTCTGACAAGAATGATTTGGGAGAAAAGAAGCGTTTTTGAGGGCTCGAAATGAAAGGCAGGTCAGGTTCTCACACTCTTAAGCAGAGCATACGGTTAGAAGAACACTTAAAAATGGTCTCTCTCCCAGGACCCTTCCCAAGAAAGGCGCGGCAGCATCCCACAACTTAGTGATACGGGACCGCGGCGCTGACTAAGGGTGGTCGGGTGCCTTTCTGGTCCCTGCTAGTAAATACCGGGAAGGCAGTTGGTTAGCGAAGGGCTTCCCTTCGGTGGCGTGGAATTGTCTCGGTGAGCCGACGGCCGCGGGGGATCTGCAGGGGGGGCTTCGGCTGGAAACTGCCTACGTGACATGCAGCGCCGAGCTGAAATGTCCCCTGACTGTAAACAATGCTGGTGTCTCCCTTTCGGTGGCATGACTGTTGTGTCCCCCAGATTACCAAGTAGAACGTCTCCAGTGAAGAGGCAAAAGAAGCCAAGGTTTTAGTTGGATTTGGGGGTCTGTTTTGCCAGGGCGGGGGTCATCTTCAGACTGGGGAGTCTGGGGGGCCGGTTCTCCTGCAGACTCTGTTTTCCATCAGAGAAATTAGCATGTTGCTGTGTTGCAGGATAAACAAACATGTTTAAAAATTTAAAAAAAAAAAAAAAAAAAAAATCCCTGTGCTAGCCCACCCATCCCCCCAATCTCGGTGTTTTTCAGAGAAGCCTGCACGTGGGCTTACTGTAAGCAGAGCACCAGGCCTCCTCTCATGGCGGGGGGGGGGGGGGGGGGGGGGGGGGAGAGTCCCGTCTAGAACCACGTGAATACAGTTTGCTGTCTCTCAGGCTCATAAACTACCACTGAGTCAAAGCAGAGGGTGTACTTGTTAGGGCGCAATTGTGAAAGCCTGTTACCCCGCACACCCCTCCCCCACCCTCCCTCCTAAAGGGCAGAGGGCCCCCTTCCAGAGGGGCCAAGCCTTTAGGGACACTTAAAGCCACTGGGAGTACACCAAACCCCCCAGGACCCACCCCAGGACAGGGATTTTGCCAGACATGCTAAAGTCTTTCTGCCTGAGGCACTGGTGTTCAGCTGCCTTTTCCAGAGGCGCTTCTAGCAAGTTCTCCAAGCATTCTCAACTCCCCAGCTGGCCCTTTGTCTCTTCTGGCTGAGCTGGGGTTAGCATTTGAATGGGCTCGCTTGCCCTTTGACACAGGGGGTCGCCTGGTGAGGAAATACTCTCTGCAACGCAGACCTGATAACTTGCCGGCAAACATGAACTAGTAGCCACTTAGGATATTCCACATGGGGAGGGAGATGAAAGCCAGTTAAAAATCATAACGTGCCCCAATATTTAGATTTTCCCCTTTATTATGTTCATCACTTGCTTAATAGGACTTTGCTCTCTGATGGGCAAACCTGCTCTGGTCACTAAGGATTTTGCGTTGGAGAACCGGATAGCAGTGTTCCAAGGCTGTGTGGTGCCAACAACCTGGCATAGCTTCACGTCTCAAGTTTTGAAAACGTAACTTTGAGCCTGTGTTTATCAGGCTTCCAGGACAGGGAATTTTAAAGCGTGGGATTGTTTTAAGATCATGTTTATGAGTGTGCTAGCTTTTCCCCCTGGAATCCCTTACTAGCCCTTTGCTCTTTAACCCTTATTTTTGCAGCTGTGATAGAAGGTTTAACGAGGAAGGAAGCTGAAACGACCGTGTTGGTAAGAATGAGGGTGTTTTTTAAATGAATCTGCATGAGTTTTATTTATCTGAATTGTCTCGTGAAGGGGGGCGCCACGGAGAGGAAACTGAGCAGAAACCCCAGTGTTGGGGAAAGCGGGTCTCTTACCAGAAAGGTGGCCAAGGACAAAGTACAAATCACTAAAATCAAATTAAGCTTCCAGAGGCCAGAGAGGTCAGACGCCAGCTCAAGTGCAGCTCATCTCTAAAAAACTGCCCGGCCAGGGGATGCATTCTCAAATGACATCTTTAATTCCCATGGTCCAGAATAACAAATGGAATATTTCCAAAATCTTGACACCCTAGAGGTGGGCCACGGGAGCTAGCAGGAAAAGGGCTAGGCTGGACCCGGCTTCTTGCACGCCTGCCCCGTCCCCGTGGCCAGGGGTCAGACCCGGCACCCTGCCTCAGTTTCCTCACATGGAGAATCAAGCAGCTGAATGAGATATTCCTCTTCTCCCTTTCAAGCTCCAAATCTGTACAGGTTGATTAGTTTAAGAAGCCTGAGGTTGCCAAATTTGACTCTATTGATGATTTTAACACTAATGGAGCCCCCCAAATATCCAAAGCTGATCAAATAAAAAGCACCAGCTGTTTAGAAATTGGTTTTGTTGCTCAAACGTTGCTTTTTTGTCAAACCTGCTTTTGAGCTGATGGCAGGAAAGGCTTCAGGAGGCAGGGCACGGTACAGAATGCAGAATTCCACCGTGGCCTGCCCCTGAGGAAGACCAGGGGTAGGGCTGAGGAGGAATGCACCATCCTTAGAGCAGAAATGTGGTGGGTGTCTTGTGTGCACCCCCCCCCCCCCGCCCCAATCTCTGTGTCTGAAAACAGGCTTGTCATAGCGGGAGCAGGCAGAAGGGACCATGACCACAGCAAGTGCTGCCGCTTCTGGACGGGCTGCTCTGGGGGCGACTGAACCTGGTGAAGTGAGCCAAGTGTTGAATATGATTATTTGGTGACACTTAAGTGTCCTAATTAGGGTAGACCTAGAAAAATGGCTGAGGCGGCAGGTAGTATGAAACCACTGTCCCTCAACCTTTTAGCCTTATCACTGCCCCTACCAAGAACTTCTTTGAACTTTAATGGGCTCCCTCCCCCTGAAATTTTAAGACCGCAGCTATCTGGATACACTCTATATCTGTTCATGCACTGCGGGCCCTTGGGAGAACTAGGAATTTTTTGCCCAACCCCCTAGAACCAATTTTGCCCCTATTGCAAATTCATGAGATAAACAAAGCAATTAAAAAAAAAAAAAAAACTGGTTTCTGTTAAATGAAGTGATTACATATCCCTGTTTTGCTTTATATTTTAACTTTGGGGGGTACATATTAAGGGCTGAACGTTATTGATGCTCTCAGTATACAGTGAATTTTACTGCCGTTTGTTTGCCTTTTTCTAAACTGCACATTTCTTTTCAACAACCCCTGGCACCTATACTGGGGGGGTTGCCTAGTGAATAAACAGCAGTGCAGGGCCACCGTCACCTGTTGATGGGGCTCGTTGATGGGGCTCGGCCAGCAGAGGCAGGACAGAGAGGAGCTGGCGCCACGCGCCCCCCCACCTGCAAGCTCCCTCCTCCTGGGTAGAGTGGGGGGCGGGGGCTGGCCTCCCAGTCTCTGGTGTGGGCACAGCCTGTGGGCTGGTGTTAGGGTGAGTGCCTTACAGATCAACAGGTGACATGGCTGTCTGAGGGGAGGTGATGGCAGACTGTGGGGCAGGAGGGGCAGAGGCTGGGGGTCTGAAGACGAGAGGAAGAGAAGGTTTGGGGGAAATCCCAGAGAACGTGGGAAGGTGTGGGTAAAGAAAAGAACAGTCTGGATGA